TTTTTTTTTGTTTGGTTTTTTTCTCCCCCTTCCTCCCCCTGTTAAAGGGGTGTGCCTCCCACCCCAAAAACCCCCCCGCCAGGGGGGGGTGGGGGGGGAATTCTGGGAGTTGAAGTCCACACGTCTTAAAGTGGCCAAGGTGGAGAAACACTGCATTAAATGCACATCTCCTCTTTCCACCAAGTTGCAAATACATTCCTCCTTCTCCTCTCCCAATTTGACCCACACAACAACCCTACGAGGTAGGGCAGCTGCAAGACCACGACTGGTCCGAAGCCAAGCAGTGATCCCCTTGACCAAGTCTGGACTTGAACTCGGAACAGAGAGCTCAAATTTAAGAGAAAAATCCTTCACTCGTTTAAGCTCCCTCTGCTCGGCAAAGCCACTAGAGTGCTTCTTGTAAATAAACCCACTAACGAGAAGCCATTATTGTCCCACCTCATACCGCACCCAGAGATTGTGGTCCTCATGCAATCCAAAACAGCTGAAACTCTTCGGAACGTCGGAGCTCATGAACAAAGACAAGAGTTGCTCAAAGCATACGCAGAGTGCCAACCAAGCTGATTGTAAGCATCCCAGATACCTCTGATATAAACAGCAAGTTGGGGAGCCATTTTTAATAATGACCCACAGTTGCAAGGGGAAACTGACCCCTTCTTCCTGGGCTACCGAACGGATTTGGTCCCCTGTCCCTCCCAAACTTTGTTCTCGCTAAGGGAGGGTAAAGGGTGGCTTTAAGAACACAAGTTAAGTTATTTTTAAGCTTCACTTAGCTCATCGTTCAAACTTGAACGTTCAATAATTCTTTATTTCAAGAGGACTCCCCTGGTGCCTTCATACTTGACATTCCACAGCTGTGTTCGCCCAGCACACGGGTCCAACAAACTACGGTTGATTCAATTAATCCGGATTCTTCAGTTGCACACCCCCGAATCATAAACTAACCACAAGGGTTATGCAGACAGCCCACTAAGTTAAAACACGGTTTGCTAGTCTTTGGCTGAACGGGTTGTGGGAACGCAACCCTGGCTTTGATCCTTCGACTCACATGGGGGTTGCAGTCCCAGGCAAGGCTCAGAAACAACCCAGCACTCTTACAAACCGGCCAGAAAGCACCAAGGAAAGCCAGAATTGCTGGAGAAGATCAAGACCGCAGCAAAGAAAGGACACTTTCAAACAAGGAGAAGGGGAAGAAGGACCCCATCTCCTCCCCTCGTTCCTTGAAAGCCCCCTGCTCCCAAAACCTTCTTTAGAAGAGATTTGCCTGCCCGTGCAAGACAGCCCTCGCTCTCCCCAAGGGGTTCCCATTCTCCGGGCAAGAGCGAAAGCAAAGAACGACGCAGAGCTCTTCTGAAACCCCACCAAGACTTTCTCCAGATGTTTACCTCGATGCTCCAGGAGATCTGGTTCACATAACTCCACCCGAAGCCTGGCCCGCCTTGGGTTTAAGCTGCCTCCTCGCCTCGTAGGCACTCTGGGGAAAGAGCAAAAGAAAAGCAGGAACTAATAGCTGGAGGAAGACCGTCCATCACCTGTGACCTGAACTGAAGCTGGAGTGCGCCTTGTTCCTGGGGATGGCTGGAACCAACCAGGAAGCTCGCGCCTGCCAAGCCATGAGTCCTATTAACTCTTCCGTGGCAAGCAGGCAACTTTCCGAAACTGCAGGAGAAGGGAGCCAGGCAAGGAGAGGGGAGTTTGATTTCCACAGAGCCAAAGAGTTTGGGGGCACCACGAAGGGCAGATAATCCTTCTGCCGTGAACGGTATGCCATAAAATTCCCCCAAGATTCTTTGAATAATCTTTTTCTTCTTTAAATAAAGTTTCCTTTTCCATTCTGAGTGGGGGACAGTGCTAGAATGATGCAGGACTTGCCAACAGAGCAACCTATTTCAGGAAATTAACTACTCTAAGACAGGGTTCATCAACCTTGGCAACTTTAAGACGGGTGGACTTCAACTCCCAGAATTCCCCAGCCAGCAAGG